TAGATCTTCAAGAAGCGATCTATTTTCTTGATGAAACAAACTTCCATCCATTACAATATTATTTGATGGAAGAAAAAAGACAAGATTTAATTGGAGAAATTCATAAACTTGAAATGGAAATTCTCTAATGGAATGATGAGTTGTCAACTCTCATTACCAAATCTTTAATCGAGGCTTTAACGGTCGAAATTGGTGAATTTTTCAAAATTCTTTCTATATTGAAAATGGCAAAAGGAAAGACTTGACTTCATCAATGGCTTAGGGGATTAAAAAATTCATTTTTAAAGAGCCAACTTATGAATATAACATAGCTAAAAAGCATGTTGTTGAGCCAAATATGGTTGAAAATGATGTTCCTTATAAGGCTCGGGGGGTTGAAAAACCCATTCTTAGAAAGTCAAGCCATGGAAATAACATGTCTATGGAAGATTTTCATAAGTCATTAATGGTTAAAATAAAAATAAAAAAAACAGCCCTATTTGTCAATGTATGATGAAAGTTATTTGGTCAAAGAATATGTTCTCAAGCCAGACATGGCTAAGAATGATGAACAATTCAATATTCATGAATCTGAATTTTTTGAAATTATTCAAAATGTCAAGTTGTTTGAATTTTTAAGGTCATCTTGTACTATGATTCTTGGTGTTCAAAATCCTTTTTGAATTTGTGGTTCACATCAAAATTTAATTTTGATGAAAAGACTAATAAAACAATCATCTTTAAGCATTATTTTGATGAGTTTGATGCACTAAAGAACAACTTAGCCATTTGAAATGTTGAACTTGACTAGACAAAGTCTATGCGTTTAAATCAGTGGTTGAAAATGGCTTATCTTTTCAAATTTAAGGCACAAAATAATGACAGTATGTGTGCTTCGATTGTAGTCAAACAATGGCTCTTGCATTCAACCGACAAAATTGTGAACATTTGATGCTATTGTATCATTCGAAGCACTTTATTGCTTAGTTTAGTCATGTACTTGGTTTGGCCATTCAAAAATTTAAATAAACATCATTTTTAATAACCGCGGGAGATAATGTTGGCACTATAAATATGTAATTTTATTATTTATTATTTATATAATTACAAGACATGCGACACACTCCTACTCATTTGGAGATTATGAGAAGTTATGATATGTGGAAAGATAACGGAGAATAAAGTGGAGAACATAAAATATGAAGTAGAGGTTGAAGAAAGTTATGAAAAATCATGGAGTATGAAATGGAAGGAGTGGAAGAATGGGTAATTTTAGGTAGTTTTGTCCTACAAATGTTTGCCTGTAAATAGCTATTCATGGCTACATTGTAAAAAACGAATCCATAATTCAAATCAAAGACAATTGATTTCTATTTTTCTTGTCATTATATTTCCTGCATTTTATTTTACGCACTTCCTTTTCGAAATATTTATTTTCAGCACTTCCTTTTTGAAGCATTTTATGCACTTCATTTTCAAAACATAGTAGTAGAGGTAAGTAATTATTATTTTGATTGTTCACTCAATCACCTCGATTGTTCACGCAATCATCTTTCTCTATCTCCCTCATTCTTCTGTTAATTTTTTTTTTCTCTGCACTTGATAATTTTGAAATCCTCTTCATTGAGACAAAAGAACCGTCAACACAATCGCTTAATAATTGGCTTAAATTTAATCTATAAGGATTTTTCAATCCTTACTGGCACGTTCACATTTATGATATTTTCCTTCATATGAAAAATAAGCCAACAGCATTATGATTGGTAGAGAAGGTGAGTAAGTGGAGTATTGTATTAGGTGATTGGAGAACATGAGGAGAGATATTAAACGATGATTAATTAAGGAGTACAGACACGTAGTACTTCGAAAATATTTAATAATTTCTCCAAAGTAATTATTCAGTAATCTCAGAGTATAGACACGTGATATTCTATAATATTATAATTGATATTGATAGAGAAAGTGGATAGATGAGACATACCCAAACTATCAAGCGAGAACAAGCCAAAACATAAAGAAGAAAAAAATATATATTAAAAAGAAGAATAAGAAGCAAAACGGAGGAAATCATCTCACACTATGGATTTTAAGAATTCTAGTATATATTCCAAGCAAAAACAGCTGCCAATCACTGAAAATATTCTCCATTTTATTCAAATATATACAAGAAAAATTCTTTGGGACTCCTAAAACATTACCTCAAAATTTACCCTTAATGACGTGAATCCTCCGTTACATGTAATTTTTTTATATGTTTAAGAATCAACTAACACAAACCCCGCCATGTCAGTACAGATAAAAGTTGAAGTTTATATTTTACAAGTCTCTAACATGTGGTGGTCTTTGGGAACTTGGGTTGGCCATTTTTTTTTTTGATTTTTTTCACTAAAAAATAAATTTTTTACAAAATCAAAAAAAACATATCCAAACAAAATATCACATCCAACTCCATAATCATTTCACTTTTTCTCTCACAAATATCACATCTAACCACAAAAAAAACCAACTATCTTCCCAAAAACAAAAAAAAATTCTCCAATAATATCCTACAACTAAAAAAACCTACATAAACCCTCCAACAAGAAAGAACACATCAAATCAAAGACAAATTGATATATTTATTGTCATTTCTTTTATCGTAGGAGTAGATTTAACTTGGATTTATTTTCTGCACTTTCTTTTTGAAACATAGGAGTAAAGGTACTAAATTATCTTCTTCATTCCCTTCTCTTCTTTTATTTTTTTCTTTTTTCTACACTTGATAATTTTGAAATCCTCTTCATTGAGACAAAAGAACCGTCAACACAATCGCTTAATAATTGGCTTAAATTTAATCTATAAGGATTTTTCAATCCTTACTGGCACGTTCACATTTATGATATTTTCCTTCATATGAAAAATAAGCCAACAGCATTATGATTGGTAGAGAAGGTGAGTAAGTGGAGTATTATATTTGGTGATTGGAGAACATGAGGAGAGATATTAAACGATGATTAATTAAGGAGTACAGACACGTAGTACTTCAAAAATATTTAATAATTTCTCCAAAGTAATTATTCAGTAATCTCAGAGTATAGACACGTGATATTCTATAATATTATAATTGATATTGATAGAGAAAGTGGATAGATGAGACATACCCAAACTATCAAGCGAGAACAAGCCAAAACATAAAGAAGAAAAAAATATATATTAAAAAGAAGAATAAGAAGCAAAACGGAGGAAATCATCTCACACTATGGATTTTAAGAATTCTAGTATATATTCCAAGCAAAAACAGCTGCCAATCACTGAAAATATTCTCCATTTTATTCAAATATATACAAGAAAAATTCTTTGGGACTCCTAAAACATTACCTCAAAATTTACCCTTAATGACGTGAATCCTCCGTTACATGTAATTTTTTTATATGTTTAAGAATCAACAAACACAAACCCCGCCATGTCAGTGAGCAAGGATCCTCTACAGTTTTTTTTTTCCTAGAGTTTCCTAGAGTGGTGTGTTGTATGGTTAAGATTTAATGACAAGTCACATCAATTTTTTAGTATTAAATCTCACTCATACAACACACCACTTTAGAAAATTTTAGGGAAAAAAAACTCTAAAGGATCCTTGGTGCATGTCAGTACAGATAAAAGTTGAAGTTCATATTTTACAAGTCTCTAACATGTCGTGGTCTTTGGGAACTTGGGTTGGCCATTTTTTTTTGATTTTTTTCACTAAAAGATAAATTTTTTGCAAAATCAAAAAAAACATATCCAAACAAAATATCACATCCAACTCCATAATCATTTCACTTTTTCTCTCACAAACATCACATCTAACCACAAAAAAAACCAACTATCTTCCCAAAAACAAAAAAAAATTCTCCAATAATATCCTACAACTAAAAAAACCTACATAAAAATCCACTTCCCCAACACCCACTTAAACTCCCAATTAAAGTCATAACAACCGTCCCTCCAACAAGAAAGAACACATAAGACTGCAAGTACCCAACTTTCAACAGGAGTTTCCCCTGCCCCGTCAATGTGTTTAAATTTAGGGGGTCTCTACCACTACTCTGTATACAACCCCAACAAGAAAGAACACATAAGAATGCAAGTTCCCATCCCATCTTCCAGTAAAAGCTTATTTTTGTGTATTTTAACCAACCTAACAATCAAATAAGGTATATCACTAAATTTAGGGGGTCTCTACCACTACTCTATATACAACCCCAAATTTGAAAGTCCTAAGACCAGACAGCTCCCTCCCACAAGAAAGAATATATATAAGAATGCAAGTTCCCAACTTCCAGCAAAAGCTTCCTCGTGTGTTTTTTTAAACCAACCTAACTATCAAATAGGGTATACCACTAAATTTAGGAGGTCTCTACCACAACTCTATATACAACCCCAGATTTGAAAGTCCTAAGAATAGCTCCCTCCCACAAGAAAGAACACATAAGAATGCAAGTTCCCAACTTCCAGTCAAAGCTTCCTTGTGTGTTTTTTAACCAACCTAACAATCAAACAGGTTATATCACTGTCAATGAGCTGAATTGAGCTATGCTGACCCAAACTACCCCTTTCAGCCTAAGATTTGGTCATTTTTAAAACCAAACCACAAAACCTAACAATCAAATGGGTAAAATCACTGTCACTGAGCTGAACTGAACTATAGTGACCCAAACTACCCCCTTTCAGCCTAAGATTTGGCCAGTTTTTCAAACCAAACCACATTTTTTAGAAGTATATTAGAGGCCGTAGCTTAGGATGGGAGAGTCTTGTTGCAGACAATATTTAAACTATTGAACTTGTAAAAAAGTATAAAAATTCTGATCAAATGAACTAGTTAAACCCTAAACTTGTATTAGTACCATGGGAACTCTAGGATCGGAATTTGGCATAAATTTTGAGTCTGAAAACATCATGGTTCTTCTGTGTTCGAATTGCTACCCTGTTCTAGACCAATCAAACAGTTGACAATTTGCAGATATGATTTCCAGTAGAGGCACCAATGCCACACACAACAAATATACAACAAACCCAACAAAAATATATGATGTGAAATGAACGACTACAACCATGGGAACCAAAAATACAGGGTTTGTTTCAGAAGCAAATATCTTGCATTCACGATTATTCTCTGTTGTTTCAACTCAACAAAATAACAATATTGACAATCACCAAGAGAAGAAAGACACAAATCACAATAATCATCAATCTAAGGAACAATTTTGTAAGCTTTCGTCTTATCAATCCACGAAACGAATGACGATTTCGAGTTCCTGAAACCCAAGAACCCATGTTCTTTGCTCTTGTTCATACTGGCCAGCATACCCTCACCACTGAGCATGAGATCAACAAACCACCACAATCCCACCTCTTCCAATTTAGTTTCCACCAATCCTTTTTCTCTCACAATCTCATCCCAAACTGGCCCTTTATCTTTCATCATCTCCTCCAACTTCAAATTCAACCCCTCTTCAAATTCACCACACTCAACCCCAAATTGCTCTGCCAACACCTTCCAGAAATGCTTCCACTTGAACACATCACCATTACTGCAATTGAACGCTTCGTTCTTCGCATACGGATCCACTGCAGCCCAAATCTGATGCTCGGCGACCAAATCAGCGTCGGAGGCATCGGAATAGCCTTCCCACGCCGCCCGAGTCCCCGGAAACCTCATTGGAACACCCTCATGCTTGCAAATCGCAGCGTAAACACACAAAGTTCCAATTATATTCATCAAACTATATGGCGAAAACCCAAAAATCACACCGGGTCTATGCACAGACCACGTCAAACCCTCTTTCTTCTCAACCTCTTCGAAGAGAATATCCTCGAGAGTGTAGTAGAAATTCGGAGAACTCAACCTCGGAAGATCTTCAGTAAAGGGAGGATCGTGTGGTTCGAATTTTCCTCCGGCGAGATCGAACGGTCCGATGTAATGCTTCCCACCCGTTTGGAGACAGATGTGTTGGAGATTTGGGGCGTTTGGGATCACCGAATTGAGAACGTTTCGAAACATGGATCCATTGGCTTGGCAATTCTCGGACTCGGAAGACCGATTGGTCCAAGAGACGTAGAAAAGGTGGGTGACGTCATCGAGGGTTGAGAGCTTGGATTGGGTGTCGTCGGAGTCGGAGATGTCGCATTGGATGTATTCGATGGGGTAGTCGGAGTTCCAAGGCGGACGAGGGCGGCGAGCGACGCCGTAGACTTTCCAGGGGCCGCCGGGGGTGTCGGAGAGAGGGAGGATCTCGGCGAGGCTGTTGCCGACGATGCCGGTGACGCCGATGATTAGGGCTACGCTCTGGTACTTTGGGGGTGCATCGTCTTCTTCGAATTTCTTCTGTAGATCAATAAAGAAAACACGTATGTTAGTTTGATTGAAATAAATGGATAGATTGAGAGATGGGTTTGAGAGATTGGAGACTTGCTTTTGCAGCGCCGATCGCACCAGCCCACCACCAGCTCATGATTCGTCGTTGTTGTTTTGGGTTTGGGATTTGCAGAGATGAAGATGAAGATGAGAGAGAGAGAGAATAAATGGGAATTGTTAAATGGAGTCAGGGTGGAGTGTGTATATAATATATGATTCAAAAATGATTTAGGCCTCTAAAAGAAGAGCTCTAATAGAGTATTAATTTATTTATTTTTTTCTTTTTTTTTTTTTGTATCTTTTACTTTATTTTTATTTTTTTTATTGATTGACAGTTCATTAGAACTATTTTTTGCCCCTCTAATTAGAGTTCCGGAACATAACCTATATGATTAGATGAAACAAACGCAGCTTTTTAATTTTCTGTCGCGTTTTGCAATTTTTTCTCTAGGCCCTTCTGCACGTCAATTTTGGGTCGTCCTCTTTAAAAATTGATTTGGCGCTGATAATTCTGCCACGTTTATCTTGCGCAATATGATTAACGTATTAGAGTTTTTTTCTTTTTTAAATTTTATCGGAGCAGATAAGCTTGGTTTGAAAAGATTTAAAAAAAAGAATCATTTAATCTAACATTTTTCTTTAATTTTTAATAAAATGAGAAGTTCATAATATATATATATTTTTTTAATAGTTTAAGGTCTCTCAAATCTCATATACTCTAATTTTTCTTCCAAAGATGAGGTATGATTGTTTCGCTATTTGAAAGCTCCGTTCTAAACTTTTAATCCCACTACCACTTTCGAATCTTCCGATGGATTGAATCGAAGATCAACCCCAAGGGCCAGGACCATGACCACACCCCTTTGCCAGGTACCAAGCACCTCCTGGCAGAGCCCGCTGAACTCAGATTCGAACCAGCTCGGAGGTCTGAGTAGGTCCATTTGGCTTTTATAGGTTGTGATGATGAGATCAGGGTGATGTTTGTAAGCCAAGATGGAGAGGAAAGGTTAGTGAGGTATGGATTAAGGGCTGATGGGATGGATCAAAGTATGGGACGCGGGTGGGTCGATATGAAAAAATGTTGGTCAAACCTGCCAGCCTTCTTGAACCTAGATCTTTATCTCGGCTGAAGAATGAAAAAGTATTGGCCAAACCTAACAACCTTCTTCTTGCCCCCCTAGTCGGGTAATGAGTACGAACAATTTTTACAAACAGAGAAAAGAATTTTTTCTAGAAAAAAAAAATGTCTACTTGTTTTATTGAAAGAAAAGTTACAAGTGTTCAAAGAAGATCTAAAAATAAAATACTTTGAGATTGGCTGTGTTCCACGGCCTTGGAATAGCTCGGTCGTCCAGATCTTGTAGGTGATATGACCATTTTCCTGCCAAACCAGTCACTCTGTATGGTCCTTCCCAATTAGATCTTAATTTGCCATCTCTAGGCACCAAAGTGTTTTCCATTATTTTGCGCAGTATCCAATCTCCAATCTTGAATTGCCTTGGGTGCACTGCTTTATTGTATTTCTTGGACAACTCCTGTTGATATGAGGCAATGTGTATCAATGCCCTTTCTTTTCTCTCTTCTGCAAAGTCTAGTTCTAGGGCTATGGCCTCGCCATTCAAGTCCAAATCAAAAGTTTCACTTTTGATGGTGGGGAGGCCAACTTTCAGAGGGATTATTGCCTCCATGCCATAAGTTAAGGAAAAAAGGTGTTTTGCTAGTTGACCGCCGATGTGTAGTTTTGTAAGCCTATAAGACGTGGAGAAATTCCTCAGCCCATTTGCCTTTTGCTTTTTCCAACCTTTGTTTTAGACCATCTAAGACTACCTTGTTAAAAGCTTCAGTTGGGCCATTGGCTTGGAGGTATGCCGGTGTAGAGTTATAAAATCCTATCTTGTATTTTTCGCAAAAACCCCTAAAGATTTTTCTATCAAACTGAGTGTCGTTGTCAAATATCAAAGCCTTGGGGATTCCAAACCGGGTTATGATGTTATGCCAGACAAACTTCTTGACGTATTTTTCTTTTATGGGTGTGAGTACTTCTACCTCCACCCACTTTGTGAAGTAGTTCGTTGCCGCGAGAAAAAACTTCCTGTTACTCGGCGCGGTTAGGAGTGGCCCTACTATATCCAAGTCCCACATTGCAAGAGGTCAAAGGTTGGTCAAAGGTAGGAGTTCTCTGGTCGGTTGATGTATTTGATGTGTGAACTTTTGACATTTCTCACACTTCTTGACATATTTCTCTGCATCCGCTTGCATGATGGCCACCAATACCCTTGTGAAATAATGCGGTAGGCCAGGGATCGCCCTCCTCGATAACTCCTACTCATGCCTTCATGAATTTCAAATAAGAATGCCTCGACCTTGCTTGTGATAACCGTGTTCCGTTTTGTGCTATTTGGTCCTTAATATGAATATGATTATGTGTTTAATGTGAGTTTGTGTGCCATTATATGAAAATATGTGACTTTGAATTTCTATCTATTCACCGTAGGAATATCTGTTTGATTATCTGCTTTGAAAATTAAATTGAAGGCCCTATCGGCCACAGAAACTAAAATCGATTGCGCCTTTGTGATTAGCGTAATTTTTAGAGCTTACGGTGAAATTTAATTCGAAATTGATTCGGATTAAATTAATTAGATTAAATTAACGAATTAAGTGCCCAATTGTTTTATATTAATAAATTGGAATTAGTGGGACTTATGCAAGGAAAGGCACTACACCCAATTCACTTACTTGAGCTCAAAAATCAGAATTTGTGTCTTAGAAAGAGAGAGAGAGAGAGAGCCAACCTTGAGAGGGAAATGAGGCATCTTGGTGTATTTTGGCTTATAAGTTGTGAATTGGGAAGGCTAGATGCAAGACTTGGCCACAATTGTGAGAATCAAGGCTCCTAGGTGAGTAACCAACCATTGACTCTTGGATTTTTGTTTGTAAATTGTGAATTCAAGTTTGATTAATGGTCAAGAACATGAGTTAGCTTGATCATAAGAAAATTGGGTTGATTTTGTTGTATTTGAAGTCATGGAATACAAGCATGTGCATAATAACCATGAATTTGCATAATTGAGCATGAAAAATATGATCCATGTAAAATTGTAGCTAGAATCCATGCTTGTGACCACCATTTGTACAATTTGAGTTGAAATGGAATTTATATCTCACATGCATGTATCATTCATAAGAGGTATGAGCTTGAATGTATGAAATTGTTATGTTGAAAGTGAATTTGGTGTAGATTGGGACATGAATGTGATTAATTTGTGAAATTGAGCTCCATTGTGTTGTAATTTAGTGTTTGTACCATGTTAGTACATATATATATGAAGTTTGAGCCAAATTATGAGTTTAGAACCTTGGAGGTCGAATTGAGCTCAAGAACAAATTCTAGAAAACCCAGAATTCTTGATGTCCGCTCGAGCAGGGAAACCGCCGCTCGAGCATAAAATACGAGCTCTCAGCATATTTTGCAGACATGGCGTCCGCTCGAGCGGGGAAGTTCACGCTCGAGTGGGGAGCTATGTAGACAGATCTTCAGCTCGAGCAGCTGGGTTGGCGCTTGAGCGTGAAATGGATGTAACCAGTACTTTTGCAGACCTCATGGGTCCGCTCGAGCGGGGAAGTCCACACTCGAACAGGGACCCTGTTTTCTGAAATTTTGAAAAGGGCTTCTGTGTTTCATTTTCTGTTCTCTTTCACTCCTAAGTACTCTTAGGCATACATTGAGCATTGTAATTGAGTTAAAGAGATAAGAATGAAGCCTAAAGAGAAATATGTGAATTAAAGAATGGATTGAATCGTTTATGACTCATATGTGCTATATGATGTATAGGGTCAAGCTCCAGGGCAAATCCACAAGCCGATCACTGTGAGTAATGTCTTCACAAGATATTTGAGATATGTTATTGTCCAAATTGTTTACTTCTATGTAAGTTTTGTAAGTTTATTAATTTGAATGGTGGACAACGATTGACGTAAATGATTGGGCCGAAGGCCGATTGACATGAATGATTGGGCCGAAGGCCGATTGACATAATTGATTGGACCGAAGGATGATTGACATGAATGATTGGTCCAAAGGCCGATTGACATAAATGATTGGGCCGAAGGCCGATTGACATAAATGATTGGGCTGAAGGCCGATTGACATAAATGATTGGCCCGAAGGCCGATTGATACAAGTGATTAGTCCAAAGGTCGTCTGCTGTAACTGTTTCAAAGATTACTTATGTACCTTCCTTATTGATATTATTCACTGGGCTTTCGCTCACGCTCATTCATGTACATGTAGGTGAGCCAAGGGACGTCCAGAACCAGCCTCGGTGAAATTGTGAAAAACAGTCAGAGTTTTGAGGAGTCAGCCCAAACGTCTCACGCACGAGACTGTCTTCGCCTTTGTCCTTTGTTCATAGTTTTGTTATGTTGGCGAAAGCATTGGACTACTTTTGTATATAAGTCTTGGGTTCGACTGACTTAAACTTGTATGATCCTGTATGTACAGTGTTCCGTGTTAGTACATATTTCGATGTGAGTTATTAATATGTGAATGTTTGGAATGTTATGGTGTGCATATAAGCACAACTCTATGGACAAAGTTTTAAATTTGCTTCCGTTTGGCCCCTTTACTCTGATGAGTTTTGTTTATTTGGTTTGAGGCCGTAGGTAATCTCGTGATTACTGGCCGGTTATGGCCTTAACCCATAGGGGCGAGTTCGGGTCGTGACATTGCTAGGATGGACACACATCAAGTATGGTCCTATGAAGGATTTCTTGTACAACGCCAGGGATGAGAAAATCCAAAATCACTATGACTTGGCGCAAATTTTGTTGGCTTCCTTCTTTTCTTGAGAAAAAATGCCATCTTTTAAAAACACTATGATGGGATCCATCCAAGAAAGTCCTAGATAGGCGCAGCATGCTTCGGCCACTTCTGGCTCCTTAATACTTGGTCTTGGTAGGAAATCTATTAACAATGGGTGTGGGATAGACGTATCTGCTATTAACGCAAAACCGGCCAGCTCAACTGCCTTATTATTTTCTTCTCGTCTAATTTGCTCTATCCTAACCACTTCAAATTTCATGATCTCCTTTCTGAACAACTCTTGGTACTTGGCCATTCTATCATCTTTTACTTCATAGTCGCCCGAAATTTGGTTGACTACAAGTTGGGAATCACTGTCTACCATCGGCTCAGTGGCCTCCATACGAAATGCTGTCTTCAAACCCGCTAATAATGCCTCATACTCCGCCTCATTGTTGGATGCTGGAAAGCCAAGGTTGATTGCCTGTTCAATGGTCAAGCCATCTGGTTAGATTAGAACTATGCCGAGTCCTGCACCATGTTGTTGGACGCTTCATCTACAAAGAGCTTACATATCTCTCCTACAAAGAACTTCCAGCAAGTTGAGGGATTTGATGACGCCTTAGAATCAGGGGCGTCGGTGCTGACGCTGTCTTCTTCTAAGTTGTTGTCCGTCATTATGATCTGGTCTTCATTGTCTGGCTGTCTTAGGACTTCACTTTCAGTCGAGTCCTTGCTTGTCGTACTACGGTTTGCTCCTTCTTCCCTTTCTGTAAGGTTGAATGGTTCGCTATGCAGTTGAGTGACCTGCTGTAGGGGCTGCATTATCCTTACGGCACATTTTTCCCTTTCCTCGCTTAAGTCGATTGGGCAAACCTGATGACTTCCTGGGAAAAACTCGGCCACAAAGTCTGTCAAAGCTTACACTTTTATGGTGGTTCTTGGCTGAAACTTAAGGCCAAACTGTTCTAACTCCACTGCCCACTTCAAAATTCACCCAGAAAAATCCGTTCTTTCAAACAAGGCTTTTAAAGGGAATGCTGTTAAAATAATCATAGTATGGGTGTGGAAGTAGTGCGATAATTTTCTGGAAGCCATCATCAAAGTTAAGGCCAACTTCTCTAATGGTAGATATCTTGTTTTGGCACCCAACAAATATCTTGCTAACATAAAAGATGGGTAGGTGTTGTATTTCCTCAGCTCGTACCAACACTGCGCTAACTGCATGTAGAGAAACTGCTAAGTATAGAAAAAGTTCTTCTTCTGGTATAGGGGTTACCAACAACGGCGATGAGGTCATGTATTCTTTCAAGCTTCTCGGAGCGCGGTCGCACTCGTCGTCCTATTCGAATTTGGCCTTCAGCACCTGGAAGAACGACCAACATCTATCTGGCGATCGACTTATGAATTGGTTTAGCGCTATGGCCAAGCCTGTGAGATACTGTACTTCTTTGACCGTATTGGGCCTCTCTAGGTCTTGAATGGATTTGATTTGAGATGGATTGGCTTCTATACCCCGATCGGTTACAAGAAAGCCAAGAAACTTTCCTGACCCCATGCCAAATGCACACTTAGATGCATTCAGTCGCAATTCGTGGGTTTTCAAAATTTAAAACATCTCAGCTAGGTCCTTGAGATGATCCTCTTCATTCTTACTTTTGACAACCATGTCATCTATGTAAGCTTTCATTGTTCTGCCTAACAACGGCTCAAATATTTTGGTGATCATCTGTTAGAACGTTGCCCTTGCATTTTTTTAGGCCAAAGGGCATGACCTTGTAGCAATATAATCCCCTGGGTTTTAAAGGTCTCTAGCTGGTCTAATGTTGCATGTTTGACGTATCGACCACTCCGGGTCATATGATTGATCTCATTGGTATACCAGGTGTCATCTGGGGTATTAGCGTTCCAGCTTTTGTCAGTGTACACATGACTTAGGTCACTGTCTTCTCACCACTCTTCCCTATTCATGGCCAGGCTGGCATCAGGTTCTATCCGAAGCATATTAACATCACGCGCCCTATCATCATACCATTATTCTTCCACTACAGCTCAAGTTTTAACATCCCGGTGCTTTTTGAGTTTCCTCAACATCCTTTTCCGGTCGCTGGGGTCCCACTCTGTTTTCTTGGCATTTTGAACACTGTCGGTTGTAGACTCAACCTTTTCTTTCTCTTTTTCCCTTTTTTGTTCCAGAGCTATCTTCGTATAGATCTCCTCTATCATTTCCCTTTGAAATTGTTCCAGTGCCTGTTCTTTCTCAATCAAAGGTACAGCCTCAGCCTTGCCATTAGCAGCGATTTTCTCTTCTGTCCCAATCTCTTCTATCTGTTCCTCCACATCGGACTCTTCTTCACTCAACCATTCATTGCTTGTTTCTGGCTGGCTCGGGTCCTACCATCCCATATGCACACAGCTTGTATCTTCTTCCTCGAAGAAGTAAAGATCCTCCAGATCATCTTCTAATTATGCCAAATCACCATCTAGGTTTGCTAAGTCATTCAGGCCTTGCTCGGGCCACTCATTCGGATTCTGCGCCATTTGGTCTTCCCTCATAGCATTGATGCTGAGAAATTTCAACAGTATGACTACTGGCTTCAGTTGATCGATGGCCACAATGTATAAACTGGGATCGTATTCCTCTGCAAGCGAAACCTCCTTCTCTATGACACGGGTATTAGGCAACCCTGTCTTTAGTGCATTCTTCTCTTTCTCCGTTTCTACTGCCTTGGGCCTGGGTTAAGTTTGTGGTGTTAAATCCATCATACACATGCCTGTGCCTTCTGGAATGACCACCTTCGATTTTGGTAGGTGGGATGAGGTAATGTATATGCTAAGGTTGAAAGTGGACGATAGTGTATGGATGTGGTTAATATTTCTAGACGGGGGGACTTGGTTATGTACAGGAAGTGGTTTGGTTGTTACGTTTGGTTTAGCGGGTGGGGCGATGACTTTGTTATCAATGAGATCTTAGATCTCATGA